TTTGGTATACTTTCATTATACAAAGTCAAAACAGTAATTGGACCAAATTTTGGAGATATTTTTTTTCCAAAAACTTGAGTTTTTTTTTAAATTACAAACTTTTGTCCATCATTTCTCCATCTTGACCTATAGTGCAATAGATGGCATTGTTTGTCCTCTAAAACATATCAATAAATAAGAAAATAAAAATTAAACCCTTTTTAAGAAAAAATTGTTTTGAAGACTTTATTTAATATTTAAAAAAAAAAGTTGGGTAAATTATTTAGGAGCGCATATTTTTTTTTCAAATAGTCTTATCTACTACCTGCAATATTGCCCAAGACACCAATCCGATCGGACAAACAGTTTTCTGAAGATAAGCTTGATATTTTTTTTCTATATGCCCTTTTCAAAACTAAGACTGGATTCAAAATGGTCATATGAAGATGCAAAATGACATGTCGGTCATTAGGAACGTTTCCGCAACTTTTCAACCAAATCAAAAAAATATAAAAATAAACCGATTTGCGAAATCGTAGGGAATTGCTCTATAGGGGAAATGGCTCTAATGTTGGACTATGGATCTAAGATGGGGCCCATCGCTAAAAATCTGCTATTTATCAATTTTATCTAGATTAACGCATCATTGCCATGGATATTTTGGTCGCTATTGAACATTTTGTCGATTGCTGAATTTATGGATGGGCCCAAATTAGGGGCATTTAGGCCGAAATTACATCCATTTCCCCTATATCATAACAATTAAGGCTAATAAGTTACTGTAGCAGCTGGCGTACCTAGATTAAAATGAAATGTAATTTATTTTAAATTTGGAACGAATAAACCAAAAGCAGTAGTTAGTGGAATTACTTTACAACCGTTGTCTGCGTCGGAGTTAGAGGTTATTGCGTACTTCTAGCTCTAGACATCACCCCGATTCCATAAATATCCATATTGATGGGTATTTGACAGTATTTTCCACTTTCTATGAAACCGGAAGCCGCTATCTTAGATTTATAATTGGCGTCAGATATCAATATCCGGACTCTAGACATCCCCCTGATTCCAAAAGTACCCATATTGATGGGTACATATTTGAAATCAAACATCCCTATTCCAAACATAAACTGTTCGGAGTACTCCGGATACTATCGGGATAGAAAAATAATGGATATTGTCCCTATCCACATTCTGTTTTATCCGGATAATTTTAAAACATTTCGATCCGGATAATTTTAAGCAGAGAATTGAGCAAAACTAACAGTTTGTAAGTGTCAGCCACCTCAGTCAGGAGCACTTTCGAGACTCCCTGACTCCAATGGCCTCAGGGTCTGCACGCTTACCGATTGCAATTACGCGGGCAGGGAATGATCGCACGTGACACACAGAAAAAACTCCACAAGCACTTCACTACTCAAGAATAGACATTTATTTCACTTTCCTGAACTTTTATTCTCCCTCTTTACTACCTTATTCTCCCACTTTCTTACAATCTATCTGACCTGGTTTCTTCGTCGTGGCCCCTCGCAACACCTCCACTATGTGTCTTCGATTGTCGACCGCTTGTCCTCGGTCGACGTCCGCTTCCTCTCCACTTTCTCGTCGTGTATCTCGTTCGCGCGCTTGCTGTACGGGGTGACGATGACGAGCACCAGGTTACTCTTCCTGGGCCTATGAGTTGGTGACGAACTCGGCCGGCAGGCAATGACGGTGTAACCTTCCGGTACGTCTACCGGAACTTCACTGCGTACAGGTGAATTGTACTAAATACAGCGGGGTCCTGCTGTCCTTGACTCTCTCCTCACACTTTTTCACTGTTTCCACTCTTACTTGCGTCAATTTAGCTGGCTTGCTTTCTTGATAAACCGTTTTCGCTGGTGGTCTTACGATCAGTCCTTATTAATTTCAAAAATGCGTGAGTCATTGGGTCACTGCTCCAGGCTGTCGGCCAGTGACCCGGGCCATTCGTCGTTCATCGCCAGTTTGTCGTGCCCGTTATCCTCCATTCAAAATGGCCATCTCTATCGCCACCCCCCATGGCCTCCCAACAGGCAGTTGTTTGTCCATCTGGTGGCGGGTTTTTGCAATTTTCGGTGGGGTGGATTGTTGCGTTCTACAGTACGCTGTCCTACCTCTGCCTACTAGGGAGTTTGACAACGGAGAAAACTGCACAACACTCACGAACATTACCTGCCATTATTTTTTACACTTTAACGGAACTAAACAAAAAACCACGATAATCTAAAAAATACTCGAAACAAAGACACTAGCACTTACAAGTTGAACGTACCGTGGATGATTTTTCAATGATTATTTCTTTCCATGCTGAGCCGTTTTCGAATTAATTAATTACAGTCCTGAAAACCTCTGTAGCGTAGTGTTATTTATATCTGAAAAGCGAATTTTCAGTAATTTTTGGAAACAAAAACGATTTTATATTTACCGAAGTTTGTTATAAAAAGTATTGAGCTGCTCAGCTATTGATCCAAAATTTTAAAATATTTTTTTCCGAAAGCTTAAGTTTTTCAAATAAGTTTTGAGTTGACGTTACGATAAAGCAATCGTTTCGGTTATATTTGATTGTAATTACCGAAACGATCGACGAGCACTCAGTTACTATAATCTCGTCACTGAGTTCGGTAAAAAAAATTGAGTGTGTATATTTATGGTTTTTCATTAATCAGCTACTGAACAGTTCCACAGCAAATGACGATTGCATCAGACACTTCTCTGATTTGCATGAAACTTTGCATAATTGTTTGTCATATTTAAGCTAAAATTCAGCCATTTTTTATCTCGCAAAAAAAATAAAATTAAAAGGATAGTTTTCAACAAATCATTACTCAAACGTCAAAGTTGTAGGAAAAATTAAGGTCTTTTCATAAAAAATATATACGATGAACATTGTCAAGTAATTTTGTGTAAAATATTAGAAAACGTATTTGAAACTTAAATAACAAAATCAGACCCTCTTTAATATTTATTTTTTTCTTTGCTTTGTTTTCCGTCAATCTTGTTCTCCGTCGATCTTGCTTTCCGTGCTGAGCTACCAACGCCTGGACCAACGGCTTTATTTCTTATCAGGCGTGATCAGAGATGTTATGCCTCAGAACATCCCGGCGACGCCGACTGGGTTTGTACCTAGGTCTTTTGAGGTGTGAGGTAATCACGCTTACCACTACACCATCGGCGCTGCTAGAAAGCAAATGTTGTTATCCATAATTTTAAAAAGAATGCTGAATAATTTGATCTGCTGATTTTTTTAAATACTTTATTAAGTTGATTTTTATGGTGCCTCATAGCATAGTAAGTAAAGGCACGGTATTACCAAGCCAGAGGCGGCGGGTTCAATTCCCGGTCCGGTGAGAGAAACTTTCGGGTTGGAAATTTTCTCGACTTCCCTGGGCATAAAGTATCATTGTGCTTTTGCCACACAATATACAAAATTCATGCATTAGTATTGGCATCGAAAGCTCTCAATTAAAATAACTGTGGAGGTGCATTTAGAACACTCAGTTGAGAGCCCGCAATAAGCTAATATGCACTAAGCAATAAGCTTCAAATGTGGATAAGAAGAAGAAGTAGAGTGATTTTTAGCCACTTCTATGCTTGAACTATTTTTCGAATTGATGTTTGTAAATAAGCTCGAATATTACAGCAGATGATGGTGATGAACTACATCACCATCATCTGCTGCAATATTCGTATCTTATTTACAAACATCAATTCGAAAAATAGTTCAAGCATAAATTTACGGTAGTTGATTCGGTACAGTTAATATGAAAAAGAGCATACAATAATACCGTCAATTTTTAAAATTTAATATGTATTAAATAGGAAAGATTCTGAATCATTATGGACTTAAGCCATTTGCGCAAAAGACGCCTGAAACTAAGCCAGACATGTCTGCAGTTGTTATGGTCGTTCAATATGATCACCAATGATTCAATTATTAAAAGCTCGCGAGATTTGATCCTCCGCATACGGATGTTGCATATATATTGATATATGGAAAATTAAAGGGACTGTTATATCTGTTATCGAGTTATAAAAAATGTCGAGCTATAGATTCGAGTTGTGAAAAGTTGGCTGTAGGACCAAATCTCGAATTACTCCGCATTTAGTAAAAACCATGAACTGAAAAACTACAATTGTGCTTTACTACAGGTTCCATCGGGGGCATTCCAGTGGTTTTGGAACAGGCAATATGCTCAGTGATGAAGATAGAGCTGTTGAAAGGCATGTTTTGGTAAAAAACTTATATTGTCTCCTGCTACAGGTTCCCCCGGGGGTATTTCGGTGGTCCTGTGGTGTTGAAAATATTGTCAATTGTCCATTTCAAGACTATAAATAGCCTATTATTGAAAAACCATGAACAACCAAACTTCAATTGTCCCCTATTCAAATTTCCCCCGGTGTGGTTCTGCAGTGGCCAATATGATAAATGGTTCATTTCAAGACTACAATTAGCCTATACATGAAAAACCATGAAGATAGAGCAGTTGAAAGCCATGTTTTGTGCCTAACTTACAAGTGCAGTATATCGTTATAACATCTAATCATTTAATAATTCCGAAAATCAAATTTTTATACTTCAACTATTTTGTTTGCATTACTTCTACGTGAAGTTAACGATTTTACATAGTTAATATGATGCCAAATTTCAAAGAACAGACTCAAAGTAGTCATTTTATACGATAGATGAGATGAAAATTCTGTGTGAGGGGCACCACTGGTAAAAAGAGATGATCGCCGATTTGCTCATGTACGTACGATGTGTTCAAACAGTTCTATCGATTGTAAAGCACTCAAGTCGTTATCTGAAGGGAGGCATCTAGTCGTAGGTTTAGGAAATTGCAGCTATTGTTATCTCTACCACGGTATGTGCTCTGTCATCGTAGACTTGACGATCTTGAGGAGACACGGGTAGGGCAAGTGAGTGGAAGCAACCCTGGTTGCAATGAATATGTCTACTTCTTCTGAACTAGCAGTTAGCATAGTATAGATGCTAGGAAACTTACCACAAATATAGAATCCTAAAACAAGTAGCAGTCTCATTATCAATGGTATCTGAAAATAAATACAAATAGTTATTAATAAATCTTTGTCAATTATCTGGCTAAGGCTAGCATTTTTTCGCACTTTAGACAATACATACACATTTTTTCTACAATGCTTTATTTGGTAGGCCTCTGAATGTTACATCCAACTTTGGTGACGAGTTTTGAACGTTTCCTGAGACCTGCCAAGTTTTTACTGGGATGGGTCAGCCACGCCATTAGCACACTCACCATTTCAGGAAGAACTCGTCCTTCTTTACTCAGGGAGCAGAATAGCATTACTGTTAGCCATGTAGCTTCTAAGGGAACATTCATAAATGACGTTACATTGGAGGGAGGGGTTTCAGGTTGTGACCGGCCATGTATTAGTTATAGCAAGATACGTTCTAATCCAATCGTGTATCCTTGTAATCAGTATGCCGTAATTAGAATCAATCTGGCATCAATCCTAATGTGCCAGTTGGCACTACTGCGGTTGGTGGGGTGTTGGACTAAAGTGTTTAAAGTGACACTACCCGAGCAAATTCCAGCATCAAAATGACAGCAAATTGAAATCAAGTTTAGATATCAACATCAAACTGAAATCATAATTTGATTTCAGTTTACACAATTGACAAATTTGATATAGGTATTAGGATTTTGTTTTCATTTTGCTGTACATTTGCTCTTCAGAAGTTTGTTGTTCCGGGTTTGTTTTCATTGCCTTAGCATAACATCAAATTGAATACTTGTTTTGTTATCAACAGGAAAAATGGATATCAAATTTTGTTTTCAGTTTGCTCTCACTGATAGCAGAAATAGTTTTCAATGTAATGTCACAGGAAGATTTTTTTGCTCTCAATTTTGATATTTTAACCATTAAAACGACCAAAACGACAGCAACCTGAGTAATCCTTTGGTTTGTTTTTTCAGTCGATCTTGTTTTCCGTGCTGAGCACCAATGCTGCCGACGTGCCAGGAAGGCAGCTCCCACACCTGGACCCTACCTATCGACCCATCAACTCATGAACCGGGGACCAACGGCCTTACTTCCCATCCGAAGGAAGGCGTGATCAGAGATGTTATGCCTTAGAACATCCCGGCGGCGCCGACTGGGATTGAACCCAGGCCTGCTGGGGTGAGAGCCTGAGTAATCATTATCAGCGAAATCACAACATCAAATTTAGATTTCAATTTGATCTCAGACTTTGCTCGGGTAACGAGCATTGACAGACATCCCGAGTAAAGTCCAGCATCAAAATGACAGCAAATTGAAATCAAGTATTGATATCAACATGAAACTGAAATCAAAATTTGATTTCAGTTTACGCCATTGACAAATTTGATACCTAATGTTGTTTTTATTTTGCTGTAGGGTAGAGCACTACTTCGTCGTAATCGCCCATTTCCGTTCTATCGATCAGAAAAGATCAATAATATCAATGATTTCACGGTGCAAAAATCAATAATAGGTTTGTTCTGATGCGTAAGTTCCAGTTAGAGCGCAGTATATGAATATTTATGCTCATTGTTATTAAAGAAAAAGAAGCGCTCCTAGCGAATCCCCTTTTTCTACGTTTATCCGTAGGACGAAGAAAATCTAATGGCGTTTCAATGCGTTAGGACGGAATTGAAACTCGTAGAACGAATTTAGAATCAAGAAGCAGTGTTAGATTTTAAACAACATCTCAACAATTTGTGACTCTTTATCAAATCCAACGGTACGTATGGAAAGGTGAATGAATTTGGAAGTCATCTGTGAAAGAAATATTCCATTTTTTGTTTAAACTTGTTCAGAAAAGAGAGGTAAAGCGCGGGTTGTACTTAGTAGGACGGAAATTAGATCAAAAACCCTACATTTGCTCTTCAAAAATATGTTGTTGCGGGTTTGTTTTCATTGCCTTAGCATAACATCAAATTGAATACTTGTTTAATTATAAACAGGAAAAATTGATATCAAATTGAGTTTTCAGTTTGCTCTCACTGATAGCAGAAATAGTTTTGAATGTTTTATTTGCTCTCAATTTTGATATTTGAACCGCTAAAACGACCAAAACGACCAAAACGACAGCAACCTTTGTAATCATTATCAGCGAAATCACAACATCAAATTTTGATTTCAACTTGATCTTAGACTAAGCTCGGGATGCTTTCAGATAGTGTGTGTGTTTTTTTTTTTAATAGAGATTGCTGACGTTTATCGTACGCACACTACGTGACGTATACGTATACATAAAATGTTTTCATCGGGAAAAAAAACTTCATAGCGGAAAATTTTCCCGATGAAAACAAATCACTGACACTATCACACTTTAGCAATCTCTATAGAAATTCAACAGAGCCTGTCAATTTCCGCCACAATCTAGACATCTCTTATTGCTTATCCACGGTCGCTTATTAAAGTATTCGCGACTAACCATTATAGCTACTATATAGACTTTAGTAACGCATTTGATCAATGGTAAAAAATCGAAACCTATTACTGTTACTTCTGGAGTCCCGAAGGCTCTTATCTAGGCTATCCTTTGTTTATTTTATTCGTAAGCGACATTTCCTTTATTCTTAAAACATAAAACTTCTTATTTATGCCGACGACATAAACATAAGAAACAAGGAAGATGTTAAGACCTTGTACAGCTGAACGGAAAAAAATGATTTACTAACTATTAGTACAAAAAGAAACACGCCAGTCATTACAATCGTATTAGTTAATCAAGCAATAGCTCATGCACTTCTCACACTCTCAGGGCTAGCTGGCATTGCTAGATCGCTGATCCTCTCTCGATTTACATTGCATCTCTGACAATATTTGAACGATGCCCTGCTAACGGCAATACAGGTGACCTCCTCTCGACACATTTCATCGATGACATGATCTCCATTGACGATAGAGATTAGACTGGGTCATCGTTATATCGAAAAACGCTAACTTTACCTCACCAATCGAGAACAACCCTTTTGACGTATACTACGTCTCACGGGAAGGTACTAGGAGTAAATCGAAAATCGAGTTCGAGTTTTGCACCTCGAACTTTGCGCGTCGTTCCTGTCGAGATCATTGGCTGCTGGTAGTGGCGTCGCCTCGATGGTGCAAGCGCTCCTTGCCTGAATGATAACTACAAATATCGATTACTTTTCGGAAGGACATATCAGGTTTTGTAAACAACGCATTTTATCGTCGGTTTGGCATAACTAATAGCTCACCCCACATACTAACACCACTAACAGGTTGGGAAAATTTTCCCCTATCTGATGGTAGTACTAGCATGCGTGAGCGAGCTACCAGCTACGCCAAATCGTCGATCAAATGCGTTGTTTACAAAACCTGATACGTTCCTTCGAAAAAGTAATCGAGAAATACTTCTTGGGCTGTGTACCAATTGCCGAGTTAAATTTAACTCGTGGTTAAACCGAGTTACATTTTAAAGTTATTTTCAATGTTCCCAAAATGCCGGAAATTGATCAGTTTTCAAACAGAACTCAGCCATGTTTACGAAAATTTAACTTCTAGTCGGTCCGAAATAGCCACGCTCGTATAGCAGGGTTATCCAGCTTTCCATGCTCGGTAATGGCGGCCTGTTTGTATGAATAAATGTATCCTTCACTGTGCTTTTTGACACTAACTGGAGGGCACAACATACATTTTCTTCTGTTCCTGGGAGAGGGAAAGGGAGGGGTCAAAACCCGAACATCCAGATAGTGTCAAAAAGCACAGTGAAGGATACATTTATTCATACAAACAGGCCGCCATTACCGAGCATGGAAAGCTGGATTCCATAACTCATCTGTCACTTTTAACCACGAGTTAAATTAAACTCACTCATTGCGACACAACCTTGGAAGTAAAATTAAGGCCATCCATAAATTACGTATTTTTTTGACCAATTAACCCCCCTTCCCCCTCGGAGCATGTTTTGCAATACACCTAATACATGGCTGGTCCCAACTTCTGAAACCTCTCTCCTCCCTCAACTACTACGTTATTTATGAAAGTTCCCTAATCATTGGGCAACACTGAAAGACAGCAGCACACACCACACAAAATGGGTTGGACATTTATGCAAAATTTCGGTATTGATAGTCAATATTTCGCAATCAGATCATTTTAGCTTGAAATCCCTCCATTTAATTCTCGGTACATCTTAAATCTATTGATTGAATTTAAAAAAAAATGGTTTTTTTAAGATTTCGTCTAGGATTTCGTGCGTTTTGTGAAAAATTTTGCATAAGAAAACGGGAACGGGGTGTTTCTGTGGTAATAAGAAGGATTTTCCACAGATTACAGTTTTCTGTACCAGGCACTGAAATTATCAGACGGTACCTCTATTTATGCTTTTAGATTAGCTATGAAAGTCCCTCCTACTTGGAAAATTATGCTATAGAACGAATTATACAACCCCAGTTTTTTTTTTCATAATTCTTCAAGTAGTAGTTCTGAAATTCGACAGTGAGCGTTCAAAAGGGCCTACTTGTAATGTTCGATTCTCTTAATCGATTTTCTGTTTACAACTAAGCGAAACAATTAATCATTTTGTCAAGCTTCTGCATTCATGTTCTATCAGATGTCACTGCTGTTATTCGCAGTGACATGTATCGGAAACAGCACACAATGACACAATATGTTTTCCGTTAATTGTTCACAGAGGACACTGCAGTGCTTAACATGTCTGGTACCTCTATGTATCCATTTAGATTAATATTCGAAGTCCCTCCTTTTTTACACATTCTGCACACAAAATAGCTCACCCTCACAGAATTTCCCACCGATTTTTATGAATGGGGCGGGGCAGAAAGTATCTTTTGCGGAGAATATGTAAAAAAGGAGGGATTTCAAATGTTAAAGTAAATGCGTTTATAGAGGTACCAGACATGTTTTGTAGTGTCAGGTACTCTATTTTATAATCTGTGAAAGGGAAATGACAAATCGAGTGTCATCAAAATACAAGGCATGTTGAGAGATTAAGGTCGTGAGAGCAGGTGTCGTGTCGCAGGTAAAACCACAAACGAAGTGACAGACGGAGCGGCTCGAAAACTTTGGTGACTAACCTGCTATTGCAATTTTTCAGTGTACCACATTTCAACACCACTACTACTGGATTGTACCACATGGCAACACTACTATTGGATTGAACTAGCATTTTCACCAAATGTACTAGAATATTTTGGTTCTATCTCTTTCACTCTACTCAAAACTGAAATGCATAAAAAAATGACAAAATGATACGCACTCTTTGCACACTGTCAAAGAATCATTGTACACAAAATCAACTTTGTTCAAATCAAAACAAAAAAACTAACCCATCTGGTGGATGATGGCACAAGCTTATAAGAAAATTCTATTACAGTGAACCACATTATTTTAATGGATTTCTTCGCCAGTAAGTCGTCTGTCACTTCGTTTGTGGTAAAACTGTATGGGAAAAAATCGTTATTTTTTAGTTGTAGCTTGTTTAACAATAATTTCCGGGAAAAAAGTGAACGACAAAGTCCCTTACTAATTTCTTTAGATTGTCGTTCACTTTTTTTGAACTGAATATGCACCAAAAGCAAATTATTCCCACTTCTCTCAATTTCTAAATGGGGATTTTTATCACTTTCTACCAGCGGAACAGCGCCATCTCTGTGGAAAGTGGTCGGACGAAATGATTAATTCAAGTTGAACATTGCATTAGGTCCAAAGTAACACTGACAAAATTCTCTTCGTCGACTTTCTCCTTGCATCCACTCGGCTCAGGTATTTTCAGCACACATATAGATAAAAGAAGTTTTTATCTAGCATTTAATACGAGAAACACAACAAGAAACGATTCTGTGCTCAAGTTATTAAGGCTGTGTTCCATTTGATGAATTTTTACTTAAATTTGACAAAAAAATTTTTGACGAAAATTTTCAAATAAACCTGCTATTCCAGCAGACTTATTTCTGACAGACAATGAATCAATTTGACAGACGCTTTCTCGAAAATCGGCCGATGTACAACAGAAGGATTTTTGAACATCTTAATTTATTTTCGAAGTTTCAAATCTAAGTGAAAATGTTCCAAATGGAACACAGCCTTAGTATTTTTTTATTTGTTCAATCGGTAGATAAAAGATGTACCGAGAACTTATTCGAGGGATTCATGGCTAATTGATATCATCTTGATAAACTATGAAATGTTGCATAACATTGATGCAAAATTGTGCACTCCGTTTTTGTGTGTGCATTTATTTTTAGCGTTTTTAAAGTTGAATCGCTGAGGATCAATTTCATTACCATAGAAAAATTTCAAGAGTACAGATATCAGCTCTTACAAAACTTATAACAAAGAAACTGGAACTTCACGTTTGTTGCAGTCCAGTACACAAGGAGCTTCAATTTTATAAGTGATGTCACAACCGTCCAAGATTTGTGTCCTAGAAATCTTGAAGTGACAGGGAATATCAGCCATCATGACGGTCATTGTTGGACGCTTCAATGAATCACATGAAGAAAGCCTTACTCATATCTGATTGTAATTTAGGCACCAAATTAAATAGAATATGTGTTCGCATTTTTATGAGGTTACCAAGTTTTACTAAGCAGGAAATCCAAAATATGTACATAGGACCGAAATCATAGGTTACTTCTACTGTATTTTAAATCAATATCTAGAAAAAATACACGAGAATTTCACTACACAGCTTAACGTAGTCTACGTCAACCCTGCGGTCATGTTTTGTACACAACCCCACCAATTTTTTTAGTTCCATTTGGAGTCCCAAACAACTGTGCAAAATTTGGGGACGATTGGTTGTAACTCGGCTTTCCGCATAGCGTTTTAAATTTGTATGGAAATTAGTATGGGAAAATCATCTTTCTTGCATTTTTATCCCTAGCGACCACAATTTTGCATGAACTATGCAACTAAGTATGTACAAATATAGTCCAGGAAGTGCCTAAAAACTTTGCCAAAGAAAGTATGGTGCTAAAATGAATTTAAAAAAAGTTACAACTATTCAAATATGTATGGTTTGAATTAAACACCAAAAATTCCTTATTCTGCCAACACTGCCGGTGTACCAATGGGAGTCAGATTCCCAACCAGTGTTGGGAAAATATCAAAAAATCAAAAATCAGAACGGCCGAAACTCATTAATGATATTGAGATATCAATATCACGTAACACAAAAAATCAAGACTGATTTTCACCACCACAGGCAGCAAGAAAATGATTTCACCTCAACCAATATCACTAACCTCTAGTTCTCCTGTTTTGTACGTATTCGCTCTATCATCTACTTCAAAATATCAATCTCACCAACGATTGGTGTTTCCATTTTTTTTAGAGCCTCTGTGCCTTTACCTATAGAGACTACCAACATTCTGGGGCTCCTAAAACATTGACGCGAGACTAGCAAAGCAACCGCAATTTATTTATTGATAAGCAAATCCAAAGGGCCTTACCGCTATTGTAAATTTGTAAATCAGCCAAAATAAACTAAGCATTGAAAACCGATTATTCATCAATTCGTCCACAGTAGAACTAGTAGATAGATGAAGGCTTTCACTTTGTGAAAATGTTCTGCTGTAGGGAGATTTTATTCAGAAAAAACAATCCTAATCAACAAATACAATAAACGAATGATAACCCGGATGCGTAAACTATTCCACAAATGGTTTGGATGATATCCCGAACACGTTAAGCTCCTTTTTATGGTAATTTTTATTAGGGAATGCATTTTATTTGTATTTAACTATGTTTAAAGTCATATAGGCCCCTTGGGTTTAGACGACGGGTGATACACGCTATTTGAAAACTTCACAAATTTGAATAAAATCCACCCAGATCAATCAAAACTGAAACTACCCAAAAATTGGTAAACTATGTTGGGTACTCATCTAACTCAAGAGCAATATACGAAAAGAGTCTAACGAGCCAACAACAAACAATGACATCCTTAATAAAATGTGTATGGTTATTTTGCTTAATGACTATGTTCAGGCTATCATCCAATCCATTCGTGGAATAGTTCTATCAATTAGGTTATCGTTCGGGTATGGTAGTATTTATTAGGGTTTGCACATCAGCTTCCCATGAATTTTTGCATACATGAAACTAAATACACTATATGGTGGAGAAAACTTTCACTAACAGATGCTGCTGTTGGTTTTCGGTTTGCATGAATGAAAACTAATCCGAAATAAACCCTCGAATAAATCGTCATCTAGTTATTTTTAACATTTAGTAATTAGGCTCGTTTCACATGCTGCTCTAGAATTTTACACGTGGTTTTCAACACTGGGTTACAGTTTGACAGTACAGTTTACCCTCAACTTTTGATGGCCTAAAGAATGTTTGTTTTGTTTAATACGAGGTTTAATATGGTTAATTTTGTTCTTGTTTTACATCAGTTTATTATACAATGCATTTTTTAAGCAATGCTTATTCATTTTTTAAGCAATGCTTATTCAATTTGGCAAGATCAGGTGAATGCAGCTGAAGATATAGCGAAGAGCAACCCGAAAAAAAAAGTACAGTGAAATTTTCAGTGGAAACAATGCTCTAACATTAATATTTATTGTCGACAATAAAAATGATTGTTATAATGTTGTACTCTTCCAAAAACGGCAAAACTGCTATCAGCTGTACAATGAATGTATATAATAAAATGTTGTTACAATGATTTTTATCGTATTTTTCATTTATTTTATTGTTAACATGATTCGATCATGAACAATAATGAACAACTCTATTACAATAAAAATTGTTGTTACATTAAATATTGGTGTATTTTCATTGTGGGTTACTTCACAACAATAAAAATAAATCTGATTGAAGCATGCAGACTATGAGAGGGTCAGCAACACTGCCAATGTAATTAAGATAGGCGCTGCTCGTATGGCTCTGGTTTTGATAGTTCGTTTGGCTCAAAACCAGGCAGTCCGCGTCCGCTCATATCTTATCCTAGACCCTCTCTAAAGCTTAATGGAGACCTTTTCCGTGCAGTCAATAATCACACAATAATAATAAAAAATTCCACCTCTTGAAGATGTCAGGAAAGAACTCTCAGGTGGAAGCATATTTCATGGGCGATTCTCTCCAGTCGAATGCATTAACTTATCAACGACGCTCAACCACCAAGGAGACGTGACCTAGGGATATCGAGCGCAGGGGAGTTGGCCTGCATTTCTCACAAGTTCCGGATCGAATCTCGATCCATAACCAGTAAAAAAAGGACCACCCGTAACAGACATACCACCCCCTTCCCTTCCCGGGGCAATGTTTTATTTTTTCGTTTTATTTTTAAAGTCGATAAAGTAGATATGTCAAGCCAACACATACACTCTAAAGTACACTGTTATTTTTTTTAATCAATTAATTCGCCAACCAACAGTAAAATAACAATAATATGTAATGTTATTGAAAAAAAATTATATGGGAAAATCACGAAAATTTCATTGTTAAGATACTTAACAACCCCCCTTTTTTATCGTAAATTTTCCATTTACCATGTAATTTACTGTTTTGTACAACATAAATCAAGGTAAATTTATTGTAGACGTAACAATATAAATCATTGTTAAGACAATAATTTTCGTCTTATTGTTACATTGTTTTTTAATATATTTTTGTTGTTATTTTTTTCGGGAATCCTTGCCGCTAAAATATAAGAAATACTGTAGTTCGATTTCTCTATCAATTGGTGTTGATGGTGACTCTGTAGCTCTTTACTCCTATGCTAAAATCCATAAGCAAACGTCAGACAGTGTGTGAAACATGCCGGACTTTGTACTATCCTTTCACTCCACAAAAAAATCCTATAAGAAACTGTCAATCTTTGCTAGAAGAGACGATTTATCCGAGGGGGGCGACACATCTAAATCTCAATCAAAAAATCTCACACTAGCGAATCAATCTTCGATAAATCTTCTTGCATTTCTCGCATCTACATGCATAGCGCATCATCTTTTTCCAGGAAATCTTCAGAATCGTCATCAATCTTCTTTCTATCTACTCAGCGTGCGAGCAGGCAGCCACAGCACAACACAATCTTTACTGCAGCGTAGATAGAGTCGTCCCCCTCGGATTTATCGACGGTGTAGGATAGAAAATACAAAAATACGGGGTAAAATGATCCACTGGCATTTGTAGAAGTGAGATCATCACAATTCTGTTAATGTATACTATTGTAGGTGCAGAATACGCATCGAATGAAAGACCTGTCCGAAGTGATTGGAAGTTTGATCCAATCTGCTTTTGTAAACAATGGATTCAATTGCCGATTTCTCGCAAATAAAAGCTCACCCTCGCAAACTAACAACACAAAAAGGTAACTTAATGAGGTACCTTAATAAAAGAATTACCATAAACGGACGATAACCCAAATAATAGAACTATTTCAAAAATGGTTTGGATGATACCTCGAACACGTCGTTAAGCAAAATAAGCATAACAATTATATTAGGGTAGTTACCTAGATTATGCTTTTATTCGCGAGAAATCGAAAATTGACGCCATTGTTTACAATAGCAGATGCACCTAAATCTGAAATCATTTCAAATTTATGCTGAATTGAATGATATAAAGAAAGTATTTAAAAACATGAATTTATTGTTCAATTTACACCACTATGTTCATTTTACTCTTACTTCCCCTATACAAGAACCCAAACAAAGAACAAAAAGGAAAGGAAAAAGTGCTGAAGAATCTTGCATTGAACCAGACCCCCTTCACTCTTGGGAAATTATAGAGACAGATAACAGCGCTGACGGTTTGTGACGAGACAACGTTGAACTGCAGCGGTGGAAGAAAACACGCACACCAACATCACGAACATGTACGAACCCACACAACTGAGCGGACGGTACAGCGCAAATCAAAACACGAAGCGGTGTTATCACTCATCGTCATCATTCAGCTTCGAATACTTCCTCGGCTACTTCTGTTTGCGTTTGCTTTGACCGGCGTTAACAAATACTTCCTACGTTATAAAATAGGAAAGTAATGATTATTCCAACGTTTTTTTTAAATAGAATCCGTGCTGCCTTGGCCAAAGAAGACGGCATATTTTATTACGTTTAGCAATGATTTCGATACGTTTCCAGTGGCTGGGGTTTTGGAATAATTCAGTGCCAACATTTCAAAGGGGCGTAATTGCATTTGTAAACAATGGCTTTAGCCGTCGATTTCTCGTGAATAAAAGCTCACTCATGAAAAATAATGACACCAGCAGGTAGAGAAATGTTTCCTCTACCAGTTAGCATTGTCATTTTGGAGAGGTAAGATTTCATTCACGAGAAATTGATGGCTAAAGTCATTGTTTACAAAAGCAATTACGCCCCTTTGAAATGAATTCTTGAGAGAGAGTGAATATGTTTCCCATGTTTACTTCTATGCTTATTAAGATTATTTTGGGCACCAGCTCCGCAAATTACTATTAGAGATTTGCATCTTATAGTACGTTCAGACTACAGAGTTATAACATGTTATAGCGCTATCTTGATGGTGGTTTCTGTATTGCAATTATTTGACAACCGTTATAACATGTTATAACTCTCCAGTCTGTACAGTGTTTTACTGATACCGGTGGTATATTGGAAACTCTTTCGCTCGAAAGCAAAACATATTACAAGCACATCCTGATGCGCGCTTGAATGTATGATTGTTTTCTCAAGTGTTTCTGTTGCGTATAAAGTGGTAATGATCGAAAATCGGAGCAATCAACTAACAATGTCGTTTTCGTTTTTGCGGTGTAGCACTGGTGTAGTGTAAGCAGGAATAAGTGCGAGTCTTTGACAGCTCAACATCATTTGTTTGTAAACAAAAGTGCATGTGTAGCACCGGTGTAGCTACACCGCAAAAACGAAAACGACATAAGAATCTTGCTATTGCAATATAATGATGATGACTTCGAGGATGATATCGTCTTTACTCGGCTGATCATCAACGTCCATGTTGACATCTGTCATGCTGACACCTGTCAGTTATTGAGCCCTAGTGGTGAAGTTGGCGAGCAACTCCCAACAGTTTCAATGTGCACTCAACAGATGGCACTGCGATCACATAAGGGTGGTCATTGTATGACTTGTATGAGGAATTGATTAGTGGGATATCTTGTTAATAAGATATCTTTGATTGAACCTCACTTACGCAGCGGATAGCAAGCAATGAGGGAGGTTGATATTGAGAATATAAAATCACACTTGAGAGAGCTCGGAAATCGCCTCTCAGCAATATCAAGGGTGCTTGCTCTTTGATATTCCAGTGTGATATTGGAACAGAATATCAATGATGATTTT